AAAGAGAGAGGGAGACCGAGGGAGTAAGAGAGATACGGCAGCGGAGAGCAAGAGCGGTGGGCCCGAAGAGAAAAAGAGACAGCGGCTATACGGCGAAGGGTGGCCGAAGCCACCTCTCTACCTATCCCGTGGCACCTACACACGCGCGTCGGGGACACCAACGTCTAACGTCGTTATAAACATTAACGGAGCGGCTCAATATTCCCCGGACCTTGCATCCCCCTGCGTCTACCTCCGGTCCATCTCCCTTCTCGGGCAAGCAGACCCCTTCCTCTTCCCCCTCCTCCCCCTCCCTCCCGCCTGTCCGCCGGACGCTCGCATGCGGCGAGCTCACCTTGCTACGGTTTCCGGGTTCCCTCCGTTGACCCTACGGAAGGGTCACCTAGTTGGTATGCCTCGGACGACCAAAGTCGAAAGGGTGTACTCGCCACTTCTTAGCGAACGTACGAAACATTGAATGGTACTTGCGGCGTAACCAGCTCTCGGACACTATCCGTACGTCCGATAACGCGGGCCTTTGTGTCCGCGCAAGACCGCTTCTTTCCCCAGCGCCGGCTGTAAACAAATTCAAGCATTTGTAGTTATCGATACATCTTTTTTATTTACTTGGGACGCCCAAGAGTCTTGAAGAAATTATTAATAAAAAAAAAGATTTTTTGCACACATCGTATTGAGCCGCCACTTTATATAAAATTATGTCAAACATTTGGCACAATTGTGTGTACATATGAACTGCAATTTTTGATCATTTGTTATACGTAAAAGAACTTTAAATTGAATTTCTTCGGACAGAGGTATGCGCAATGATTGGAAGTAAATTGGAGGAGAGGAGCGTTATGCGACGAAGTCAGAAATTGAAAAGGATCTATCCTCGCGTGTTATTTCGATCGAACTCCACAGTCCTAACGGCGAAAGATCGAAACGGGGCAATAAATGGCTCGCCGGAAATTGTAATTGGAGGCAGAGAGGGAGAAAGAGAACCCGAACGTCCGCCGTTCCTCTTACAGATACAAACAAGTCGAGCAGAATTACGTTAGGGAGATTCGGTCGATTTCGTACGATCACTCCGGTGGATCTCATCGTTCTCGAAACCGGGATGAGGAGAGCGATGAAAAGGAGGTTAAGAGAGTCTGCGGGAATGGAGCCGGTGGTCGCTTACGGCTTCGGATCGGGATCGTCTAATTTCGTTCGACGAGTCCCGCAAGGATTCTTCGCTCCCGTCGTCTTTGTCTTCGTCGTCGTCGTCGTCGTCGTCGTCGTTGTCGTCTTCCGCTCGCTCTATTTGGACCTCGATTTCGATGACGGGGTCGTGTGAGGCCGGCGCATTCGTGTCCGAGGGATCTGATTATTGTTAATTATAGCGAGCATTAAGAGCGAAAGAGGGTGCGGCACCCTCGATCATTCTGGTCAGATTAGTGATGATGATCGAAGGCACGGATGCCGGTAGATGCCGTTCCCCACGGAGATCGCGCTGGCCTTTTTACTTTAGCGAATCGTTGTTAGTTACAGCTATCAAATATGTAATATGTTATTCCATGAAATGAAGTTTCAGTTTTTTTTTTAGAATACAACAATATTTTACTTCTTAATTTTATATATGCATGAAACAGACACGATTTTGCCGAAGTATCTAAAAATTTACCTTAAGGATTGGAAGATAATTTTGTTGTGGACCGTCAAAATAATTATGAAGCCTCAGACTCAGGTAGAAACCTCAGACATAATGAGCAATGCTGCAAAAAGTTTTGATTTTCTAGCAACCAGATTAGCATTCTACATAATTCTTTTGATAGTCTAAAATTATTTTCAGATCTGTATCCATAGCTAAAACTTTTAAATACTTTAGCAAAACTGTTCTTTCCGTCTGATACTATTAAAACTCTAGGATAACTATATTTGTCTATGATGTCAACAAAAAGTACGAAATTATTTATATAATAGATATTTTCACTCCTCGATATATTCATCTGTTTAAAGAAATAAAAGTTTTAGGAGATAAGAGCTTTGTGGATTAAAATAACGCAGTTGCGAAAAAGGTAGTGTATATAACACATTATTCCGGCACAGTAAAATCTGCGATAATTTTTTTTTAATTGCTATTACGATAAATTGGTATAGATTAACGCTGCAGCCAATTAAATTCCATCAACAAGTATTATTTATTTCTCGCGTTTTCCCCTCCCCCCGTCTTTCTCTTCACGATCAGATCACGTGAGGTGATCGTTTCGAAAGGCAATCTCGCGTTTACACGTATCTCATTGGCAGCAGGTGCGCATCCTTTTTCCGCGCCGCGATCGGTAATTAGGGATTAGTCATCGACGATCCTCGATCAACGGCGACAACAAGCGGCAACTGGAAGTGCCGCTGTCTCGACCATGGATATTACATTGACGTATCGGTGCCTCGGCGACGTTCACGCGCGGGCTGCATCGCCCAATTAACGGCCGTCCCTGTTTTTTCGGCAAATACTCATAAATCTCGGCGCGAATCTGCCCGGCCGGCCGGTTTATCCGCGATACTCGTGGCAAAATCGTCCTCCTTATTAATGTCGTACACGTGTTACATACGTGACACGGCGGATTTGCGCGGAATCGTGCGGGTTTCGAGGGATCTCTAATCCGTCGTGCTATTCGCGTCTCTTATTAAGGCCTGTTTATTTTGATTTATCGAGTTAGTTTTCCTTATAGCCTTATAGGTATCAGAATCGCTCGATCCATTAGTTTCATAATTACCGCAAATACACGAGATGTCTGCCGTATTATTTTTGCTGACATAACAACAGGCTACCTTTGACAAATTGGAATCGATTTTTGTCGTCGAAAGAATATTTTAATCAAAGATTACTCTGCAGAAAACTAATTTTCTGAGAAATTAATTCAAGCTTTGAAAAAGTTTTTTTATTGGCAAATCGCATAAGAGAGATGTTTTTTTTTATATGTAGATAGGAAACGTCTATTGATGAGAAAATGTCATATATAAATTCGCAAATGCATTCTTTCGGTATGTAGTTGCGAAACGCTACGTACGGTGTATTGTAAAGCTATAATGTAGAATGCCAAGAGATATCTTGGAATATCTGCGGGAAAATTATCGAATATTACAGCTGCCATGCAAATAATAAGATTACGATACATTGTCTTGCTTCAACAGTTTCCGTTACAGAGTCTGATATCGGGAGAACGAATTGCAAAAAATTCTCTCCGTGGAATTCGATCCGAAGTTTACTCTTTAAAGGTATATCGGCAACGGGGGAATAATCCACAGAAGGGATCCGCTCCGTTCGGGATCCCTTCTGTTATGCGGCCACGCATGATACCCGACATCCGATCGAGGGCGGTTAACCCGGGCGCTAAGTTGGTTACGTCGTAACGGAAACATTTTTGCAACTTCTCGACTATACGCAAATCGAATTTCGGTCACGTCAAAGGTAAACTACGGACGACGACGAAACCGGGATCCAGGATATTAGTCGACAGAGAGAAAGAAAGAGGAGAGAAGAGCGGGTGGAGGGAGGAGGGAGGGGGAGAGAAGGGAGGAGGAGACGACACCGACGAGCGTGTTTCGGAGCCGGATGGAAATTTCATTCGCTAGTTTTCTCCGCTTAATAAGACGAGAGACGGAGCCACGAGGTCGCTGCCGGTTTGCAGCGACTTCGGAAAGGGGAAACAGAAAGGGCGCAACAAGGGCGGGGGTGATGCGGAGGACGCGCTGTGCACGGGCTGTGCACGGGTGGGAAAGGGGGGGGGACGCGGCGAAAAGGGGGACCCAGAGAGCGGGGGATGCAGAGGGGCGGCCAGGACTGGGAGGCGAAGTGTCGTCGTCCGAATAACGGCCAGGCGGCATCGACCGATCTTCCTGCCCCCGGCCCGTACGAAGCGTCAACTTGTTTCCCTTCTGCTGCGCGAATATCGGACCTTCAATTTGCCCACTGCGGTTCGCTAACGCGATTGTCCTCAGCGAGCTGTCCATGACGCGGTTGTTGCGTGACGCGTGATCGGGGTATGACGGCTAAACGGTCCCCGAATTCACTTTACGACGGTGCACGCGCTCGAAACCGCGAGCAAATGAATTCCCCGCTGCCGAATTAGGAAACGGGATGTAATAATAATTGAAAAGCGTCTACTTTATATATATTCTTTTTCTTCTGTATTGTTCCTACTACTCTTAAATTATATAAAGTATTATATAAAAATAGAGATTTACGATATAAATGAAATTAATATTGAAATTATATGATACATTTTAAGACAACTATTGATGAGCAAAATGTAGAATAGATTCGAATATCTACAATATGTTGCATTTCTTCATAACCACATATTGAACAATGTTGTGGAACAGTCATTAATAGATATATAGCTTATTAATTTCTTAGATAGTAGGTACTTCTTAAAAATATGCATTTCTAGATTTTAATGCGCTAACCCAAATTAAATCAAGTTCTTATTAATAGATAATAGTTAATATTCAGAAATTTAAATATTAAAAAAGTATAATAAAAGATATTAATATAAATTAATATTACAAGTATATAAAACAACGTCTTTAAATACATTATTACATATTTGAGAGTTCTAATTTTGTGGAAACATTTAAATTATTTTCAAGATACTAAAATTGTGTGTAATTTAAAATAATAACTTACAAAATATTTAAAATAAGTTACAGAAATAATAATTTATATTAATATAGATTTGACAATATTAATAAAGAAATATATGTTATACATATACTTTTCTTTATATACCTACCTCAGGAAGAAGAAATACGAAAGAAATAAGTTCGTTCGAAATCCAAAAATAAATGGAAAATATTTATTATACACATTGCGTTTCCGCGCTTTACAATTTGTCGTGATTGACGTATTCACAACAATAACAACGTTTCGCGCTGCCGTGTCACGAGATCGCTTGCAATAATATTAAAATTTAAGTAAGGAAACAATAGCTATTGCCAAAATAAAATAAGCCACGAGAAAATGTTTTTGTTTTTTCATGCAGTTTCATCTGAACTCGATCAATGGAGAGCTATGAAGAAGACGACGACACCCATTTCTGCATCAAGTGTAACTTAACAATCCACGGACTCGACAATTATGTGCGGCACCGTCGATCAGGTTGCCGTCCGTCCGACGTTAAAATCGAGATCGCCCACGAGCCACCGTCGACTCCGACGACGGTGTCCTATCCCGAGATTCTGAACGCGGACGCGTTCTTCAGCTCGTTGGAGTTGCAGAGTAACGCTCGGCGAGCGCCCACTTTACTGGATAACAGAAAATTCAAGAAAGATGACAAGAGAAAGAAGGACCAGAAGGGTCAGGTGGACGGTGACGAGGCCGGCGCGAAGGATAAACTTCACAGCATGTTACCCGCTGTCAGCGATCTCGACGAACCGCCCGATCTGTGCATCCAGTCCCTCAAGCAGAACACCCTCGATCGTAAGAGGCACGAGAATCAGCAGAGTTGGTTGGAGGACGACACCATCCTCGCCGACCTTTCTTTGGGGAATAGCGCGAACAAGGAGCTGGCGAGATACGACTTCGAGTACGATGACTCCGAGGACGACATGCTGGAGGAGGAATTGGGGGAAGATTCCTATTCGGATTCGGATGACGGCGAAAACCGGGAGGGTCCGCCGCGGGATCACACCGGCGGAAAGTGGAAGCCCGGACTCGACGATTTGCCGCAGGACACGCCGCATATGCATGAGGAGGACGCGGAGCCCGACGACGATCATCAGGAACATCCCCCGCCGACGTATACTGGCGGCAAATGGCGACCCACAGAGACGTCACAAGTAAGAAGACGAAAAAAAAGATTTCTTTCAGAAGCATGAGTAATTTTGTATTTTAAAAACGAGTATATTTTTTTTATTTGAGATATTTGATTGGGCAAAGATGTTGAATAACAGTTGCCTCAGAAAACTACCCTAAATGAAACAGTAAAATAGAAAAAAAATTACGCAAATTAAATCAAGTCAATGCGCGAATTTTTAATACAAATTCGATCCATTTTGAGAATCATTCTGTGTATCAGCATGAATTTGATATGCAATGTGATTCGACGGGCGTACGCGACCTCGCGCGAGCGATGACGATTTGTTGGACAAAGAGACATCGACCATTACAGAAGGTCGAGGAATACGAAAGCAAGAACACATCCGGACAGCCGCCGCCAGGACACACACGAGGGAAATGGGTACCGGGTGCACGAACGGATATCGAGTCGGGATATTGGTGCAATCCTTGCGGCAGGAAGCTCGCCTCACGATTGGTCTACAACAGGCATCTGCTCTCTGATTTGCACGCCAGGAGGAGCATTAGGGAGCTCGACGGCGAAGCTCTCCATCTACGGCGTGGAATAAATTCGCACGCGAGAGTGTCCAGAAGAGTGTCCACTCGTAAGAAGACGTCACTTGCAATGGTAATGGCCCTTTTAACCTGTTAACGCATGATTAAAATCAATATTTTTACCTTCTGTTAGCTTATTTAAAAAACGTACCTTTCCCAGAGAGAGATAAAAATAATTACAGTAATTTTTATGAATTAATAATAATAATTATATCTTTATTTCATTATTTAAAATTTATTATTTATCTATTACTATTTAAACTTTATTATTAATTATTTGTATTTTATTTGACTAATATTTATTTTATTTAAAAAAAATCTCTATAACTAGTGGAAAAATATCTTAATTTTGCCTTTATATGAAAATTTAATCGAGACCGCGAAAGTTCAAATAAAATTAGAAACGCCAAATGCGGTCTGAAGTAAATCTTAGTGCTTAATAATAATATATTTTTGCGTGAATTTTACAATTTCCAGTTCAGGTACATTGCGCGCCGAATATTTATCTCTTAATTAAATCGTGTTAAATTACAATTAGAAAAGAAAGATCTGCATTTATACGTACACTTAGAAGGATTTAAGAAAAAGATTTAAATAAATTTTGTCCGATTTTTTTTATGATGATGATGATATACACTGTATTTCAAAAATATTTCGATGTAAAAATTCTTTAATTGCATCTTGAAACGGGAACATATTTCAAATGTAAATAACAATAGCAGCTCTCCGGACGAAATTTCTTTAAATCTCATAATGCAAACTGTTCGGTTAAGTCACGCTGTGTTATTAGAGAACGAAAGAGGAGCCCGAACAAAAGAAAGTTAAGAAAGGTCTGCGTCGAAGAGAGAAGGAGATCCTCCTCTGCGAGATGTGCCGCACGCGCGTGAGGAGGCCTCAAATGGGTAAACATTTGCTCTCCCATTACCATTGCCGTGTGTCAGGTGTCCTCGTGAATCCTCGCAATCCAAGCGTACGCCGTTTCCTTCTGGAGCACATAGCGAACGTGGTCCGACAGAGCCCCTTCCAGTGCGCTCCTTGTCGTTTTTACTGCAACACCGAGGAGACGTTTCTGCTTCATTGGCGTTCCGATCTTCATTCCAAGACCGTAAAACAGGTGAGTGGCCGCTCATTAATCGAAGCGGGGACACTGAAGATATTTCGGGTCAAGATTAGAATCGGGCGCATCCGTGCGTTTTTGTATCCGCATCGATGACCACCGTATTATGCATAATCACGCGTACGATTCTTGCACCTGTCGACGAGTCATTACTCGACGAACATTAAATAGATGAGAAACGGACAAATCGAACTTAATTGACTCATGCACCCGGACGTTCGCGGTCGCGCAGAAAGACTCCTCGTCATTTTTCTTCTTTGCTTCTTTTTCTCTCTCTCTTCCTTCGCAGATCGGCGGTAGTTGCCGATGCACTCCGTGCAACTTCTGGTGCGCAGACAACGCGACAATGGAGTCTCACCTCCTGAGTACGAGTCATCGTGACGTGGTATCGATGATGAAGGGCTCTGTGCCGGTAGTAATTAGTCGTCAACGTACGTTATCCTGCGGCAGTTGCGATCGGCAATTCCGATACAACTTCCAGCTGCGTTTGCACGCCAGGGAGACCGGTCACACCGCGAGCCACACCGCGTCGGACGTGTATCAGCAGCGTATCAAGTGCGATCTGTGCCCCCAAGTCCTCCGGTCGCTGGTCGCGCTTCAACGTCACCAGCTGACTAATCACGTCACCAAGGACAAGGAGAAGAGCGAGGTCGTGGTGGACGCGCGACCGACGCCGTACTTCTGCTCCTTCTGCTCGATGAACTTCATTACCGCCCAAGAAGCGGTGCTGCATCGAAGAACCTCTAGTCACAAGGAAACCGTGAAGGCGCGCAAGAGCGAGGAAGGTCTGTTGGACACGGAGCGAGATTGCCCTCACTGCGACCAGAAGCAGCCGAATCTTGCGGCGCACAAGAATCATCTGCTTCTTTGCCATTCGGAACTTTGCCACAGGTAATTTACATATTATTTTCCGGCAAATTGTTGATGTCACGTATACAGTTGCACAACATTGAATATCATTTTTACAAATTTTTCATTTTAGACTAAAACAAAAACTCGTTTGTCTATAATTATATAATATTTTTCTTCACAATTCTTTCATTTTTAGACTAAAGCAAGAACTCGTTTTTTCTAATATTTTGAAGCATTTCAAATTTTTCTCTATTTTAAAACATTTTTATTTACAAATTCTATAATTTATATAATATTAGATATTACACATAATTGCAATGGCAAATTTTGTAATCTTTTCGTTCAGATGTCCACGATGTGGCACGCTTTTCGCCTTATCACAAGACGTCACTAGGCACACGCGAGAGGGTAATTGTCTCAAGAACGATAAGTCGGACGCGGGTGAAGCAGAGAGTGAGGAGAAAGAATGGAAATGCAAGGAATGCATCTTCTCCACGGATTCCAAAGCCGAATTCATTTTTCACGAGGCCCTGCATGCCGGTGCCGTTGAAGAAACGAATAAAGGCTCCGGTTCGAGCAAATTGCCGAAATATAAGTGCCCGACTTGTGCGAAGGCTTTCCCGAAAACATCGCTACGTAATCACATCAGGCAACATACCGGGGAGAAGCCCTTTCCCTGCATGAGATGTTCGATCTCATTCGCGAGGAGATCGCTTCTCATCATTCATCAGAGGCTGTGCAGCACTTCGTCGAAATCTCTGGACAAAACTGGCCGTCGGCGCAGCTTCATCTGTTCGCATTGCAAGGAAGGCTTCTACACAAAGTAAGTGAATTTTAATCTGTTAATTGATAATTGTTATGAAAATATTACTACACATTTTACAAGTGACTCACTTGTGCCAACTTCTGTTTCAATACTTTCGTATAATTCGTACGTATAATTAAATCATATAGATAGACGTTAATTTTAAATTTGAAAGCTACAGATTTTGCATTCTATTTTTAAGTATACAAATAATTGAAATATAAATATTTAATGGATGAAAAAGATAAAAAATAGACGGGCGATTTAATTCAGTAAACTTGTTTATAAGAACTGTGTGATATTTATTTTTAACAAAATTAATAATTTATTGTTTTTTTTTTAATTTATACTATTACTAATATCAGATCATGTCAAAATAGTGGTATTAGAGGCACATTGTGTTTAAAAGTTCTGCAGTAATTGCGGAATAAACGCTGCATAAAGTTATGGATCGGATATGTATTTCGTGTGAAGAATTTTTCTCATTATTTGCCATCGAATATTGCGCAGATTGAACTGCGAGTAGCATGTACGTTCTCTCAGAGAGAGGAAAGAGTCGTTTACATCCATATTTAACCGAGCATAATCGCGTTTCGATCTCTGATTTTCGCGAAAAATAACGAGTAGCACATCTTACGGAAATTGACAATCTTTTCAAAAGATTTTGCGAAATTATTCAAATCGATCTGGATTGGCGGCAAAATTAATTTTATTCTCTAAAATGTTGCTAGCTTCGACTTTTCTCGACTTGCTCCTCATTCGACGCGCTATTTTTCCCCGCAGCGTGACCGTTCCGTAATAAATAAAGGATAGCGTATTCGGGGGTAAAAACGCCCTCGGGCAATAAAAGCACTAGCCGCGAGCCGGAACCGCGAAATGTTCACGCGGTCGTAGTAAAAGTGTCCTCGCTGCATAACTATAAAATGAAGGAGCGTGGCCCAACGCGGAGGAGACCAGGCAGAGCGGATCGAAAACGCGGCGAGAAAAGAAGCGAGACGAGCCGCGAGGCGCGTTGCGGGCTGAAAAGAGAGAAACAAATCGGGTTAGAAGGAAGAGACGCGCGCGCGTTGGCCCGACAACGGGTGTCGTATTAACATCTCATGGCAATGTATATGAACCCGCCGGTCATTTCGCTATTTAACGGGCCTCCATTATATAGCGGTGATACACATCGTATATTTCTGCAATGCCGACATATGGGTGTGCGGCGTCTATACGCGCGTTAACACGAGATATAAAATTAAAATACGCAGATATCAGCGGGTCGATAAGCTTTCATATTTTATTACGCCGTTTCTGACAACACATTGAGAAACATGTGGTGCTTAAAAATATATTTTTCTCTTGTGTGTGCGCGGATATAGTTTTGATAAGAAAACTATTAATAACTATACAAAAAAAATAATTTTGTTCTTCCAAAGTAAATTCTTATTGTAAATAGCTTATTATTTTTAACGAATAAGAATTGATCTCTTATGGGTCAATTCTTGTAATTTAATAATATATTAAATAAAAATAACGTCCTTTTTTTTCAACGGCACGTTGAAACACATCAATAGGCTCGCGTCAATAGGCGACGCACGTGCGCGGCTGCCGGAGTGCGAATCATTTCAGTGTTTAACGGGCTCGCGTTACGACGGACATATACTCCGTGTCCCTTTAATACGCGCGCCAGGTGAGCGCGCCTCCGCGGTCGCTCGGCGGTGCGCGATGGTGTTTGTGTGCCGCTTTCGTACGACACACAAGTATTAAACCATCGCCCGGCTGTAGAGCGGCCGCTATAAAGCAAATGTTAACACCTTGGCTCCGCCGCCGCCGCAGCCGTCGCCGTCGTCGGTTCTCCTCTCCGTGTCCTTCCTCCGCCCCCGCCGCGCCGTCTCTCCTCGCCGTACATGCATTACCTTCTGTAACGGCGCCTATTCAACATCCAGCCACCGTCCTATTCTCACACCCGGCGTCCCCGAAGCCGAACGACCGGCCAGAAGTCTCGACATGCAGCCACGAACCACGAGGGTTTTGCTTAATGCCGCGATTCCGGGCCATTCCGAGGGATTACGTTTGACCGTCGTCGTTCGGGACACCCTTTAGCACGCGCTCCGCCGCTCGTGTACTGCTATTTTTTTCCGTTCTGATTCGTCTTTCAACAAAAGTTTCTCGTATCATTTCGCCTTATAAGATAATTGACGAATTCTGGAGTTGCGCTATTTTTAAATCTCTTAGAATAACGTACTATAAATTAGATAAATTGTTTCAGCTTTACCGATGCGCGATAAAGATTCTTGTGGGTACACTACCGAGACGCCATGACAAATAATTTTATCGGAGAATATCATTTTCATGTATATAATCCGGGCGGTTTACATTCGCGCTCGGATGAGTGCTCCAGCGCGGAGACCGCGGTTACGACGCCGTGTGGCGCGTCTTAAGAAAGTCGAAACTAGTTTTGTGAAGTTCCGACGAGTCTTCAAATTATTTAATCGACAAATTTTACGATCCTGCTCACCGGCTTATCCCCTCCCCTCCCCCCCGAAAATCACTCTCTACCGAGAGGCTCTCTCGGTATCATCACCTCGGCGGCAAACTCGGACCATCTCTATGCAGACACCCTATAATCTTCCTTCGGGGCTTAGCTTACTGTAGCGTGGTACGCGCGCGAGATCGACGTACCTGGAACTCGACATCTCGTTCCGTGCGAGAGGAGTTAGAAGTTCCAGCAAGCCACCTTGATTAGAAGCTCTCTCTCCACTCCTCTTCTTGTCGCTTCCACTTCGTCTTGTAACAGAAAAGGGCCGACCGGGGAAGGAGTATATGCGTCATCTCCTCTACGGGGGCCAGTTGGCAAGCCCGTTCGTTAGCTCCGAGATGAGGCGTGTTCGTGGAAGAATAACGCGCCGCGCGCGCGACAGTAAAGGGAGAGACCGCGATGAACGCGGTGTGATGGCGCGAGAGAAAAACCTTGTACAGGTGACAACTAGGAAGTCCCGCTTGACCTTTTGCCGTTAAGACGTACCTTAATTCTCGTCTACGCGGGAACTTCATCAGAAACTTCAGTAACATCTCTTTCGCATTTTCATTTTGATCCTTCCGCAGACCCTTCTGAGAATACCTTTTGTAATTTTTGAGATGTGCTTTGGAAAGTGTTCTAGTAATAGTATTTCATATCGCGTTATATTAATAAAAATATGAATAAGTACTTGTAAAACAAATTTTTTCTAGACATTTTAAACAATTCTTAATACTTCAAGGAAAGAACGATTTTGCTGGATACATATTTGAAAATGATTTTCGTTAATTGAACAATCAAAATAATTTTGTTGGAAAGTCAAACTGATTGGTAGAATATCAAAAAATGTTTTTTATGCTTATTATTTTCAACTGTTCAACAAAATTATTTTGATGGTCCAACAAGAATTATTTTCAGATCTAAAATTTGTAGACCTTATAGCAAAATTGTTCTTTCCGTGTTCGAAATAATCGCCGCAACACTATAGATCCTTTTTTCGCGATCGGAAAAATTGCACATTTAACGTATGAAAAAGTTACGATGTTTTTGTGCTTTCTGTAATGCTTTTTGGATAGCTGAATTCGCGAAAGAAAGCGGTGAGATTTTATCGCGTGCAGACACGATTTTTCGTAATGCGCAAAAATACCGATACGCATAAAGTTGAAGCCACGCGAGTCATATCGGTCCAGGTCAGCGCGCTGCGGTATGCGGCGGGGCAAAAAAGAATTGTAATGAATCGAGCGGTGGTTTAGCGTGGAGGAAAATAAAGGAAGAAACCAATTACGAGAAGACGAGAGCTTGCGCGCAGCGATGGATCGCGCATTAAGCGATTCCTAGAATACGCATGCATCTCTTGCGATGTATGCGCATATTCAAGATAGTATGTCATACGTGCGAGCTACTAACTGCACGATTTATTTCCTGCCGGGGCAAGAAATGGAAAAGGAGCAGCAAGAAGAGAGTCGCGAAAGGAATATACTCCCAAGACAGTTTCATATATACCGCTTGGGTTTTTTATTGAAATAATAAACGAAATTGCAACGAAAGAACGCTGATTGTAGACGACGACGACGACGAAATATTCTGTTGATTAAGGGAAGAGTATCACGCACTATAGTACTAATGAGCAGCAATGAAAAAAAAAGGAAAATTTAATTAAAAGAAATCTAATCGAGATGTACAAATGCCGATGCAAAACTGATCGGTGCCTCGGTCGGTTTTCGCGGCGATTAAAGACGGGATTTAACCGATTTTGGAATTTGTAGACGAGGTACGTCATTTCACACCTCTCTCGCAGAGTTATTAATGCACTGCCGATCAAACTTATCCCATCTCGCGGCAGAAACAGACAAAATGGCAATCCTACTGAGCGGGAATACGCGGCGAGAGCGCCGGAGTTATCGATAAAGTGTTCGGTTCGGCAACTTGTCGGACAAGTTGCCTAGCAGGGAAAATTAATGATGCCGCACATCAGTGCAGAAATACAAAACGGTAAAGTCGTGGAAAATTTTCTTATGCATGTGCGTTTACTTTGCAGTGATTTACGACCGTATATCTTCGATAGTCTCTTAGATCCAATTCTGAATTTTTCCTCGCGCTTCCCTCAAGTTAAATGGCTTTCCGTCTCGATCTCCAGTTTCCATTTTAACGCTCGACGATCTCAACACGAACGATTTAATTGTTATTCATTCATATCTTCGTGCCGTGCTTTGCGCGAGGACGCGACTGCTCCGAATAATCTAATTAACTCGCGACGGAACGTCCGGTGCCTCGCGATCGATCGTTCGGCGTTTCTGGTCTGACGATAACGCGATATTCCCATCCTTGTCGCAGAGAAGGAGGCGCAGAGGGTAGGTTCGTTACCTGTAGAACAAGACGCGTGCTCGCGTAGCTTGCTGCATATACAAGGGCGACGCAGCGCGCGAGGGCAAGCAAGAGGAGGAGGAGGAGGAGGAGGAGGAAGGGGGGGGTATAAAAGGAGCGTCGGGGCGAACGTGACGATGGCGGAGTCCGC